GATTCAAAAGGACCCGGGGCTCCCAGCGGTTGCCGCCACGCCTATGAAGCCATGGCAGCAGCTGGGCCCTTAAATCGCCACTAGAGCCCTGCACCATGCACTCCCAGCTGTGCTGAGAGAGGGGAGGGCATAGTGGTGCTGAGGGCTGGCTGCTCCTGGCCCCGCCCCTTCCAGAAGTGTAGAGCTGGCCACCCTACCTTGACCAGGGTCCTGGCGATTCTGTCAGCCCCCTCCCCTCCACACATCTCACAGTACAAGGGGCGCTGTCGGCTTCCCACCCCCTCAGTTCCTTCTTGCCACCACTGAGGGTGCATAGAATGTCTGCTGTGTCGGCTCGTGTTGTTTGTTTCCGGTCTTATGAACTTGTTGAACCTGTAATTTAGTTGTGCAGGGCATCCCCGCTATACATCCAAGATTCGGTCCAAAAAACGTGGATGCATAACGAAATGATGTAAAGTGGGGAATTTTTTTCCCCCGCGGCTGACTTCCATTTGTGCAAATTGGGTGATTTTGTGCATGATGTAAGAGCGGGAAATGGAAGGACTTATAACACATCAGTCCCTACAGGTGTCAAGGACGATCTGGTGGAAATTATTGATACCGGGGCAACTTACAGTGGGGACACCCTATATATAGTTAGTAGTTGAATGAGTTACCTTTAGTAGTAGTTTAAAGTCTTCAGTTGTCATGAATTGGACACAGCCAGGAGGTGGGCGTGCCCCACTCCCCAGGCTTCAAGTCCCTGTGATCATTGCAGATGGCCTCTGTCCATAAGCAATCCCCATAGTAGCTATGTTGGGCGAAGGACACAAGTGAAAAATGCTGTCTCTGGAAGTCCTTCAAGCCCAGGACTAAAAAGGAGTGCAACTGACTTCCAGCACTCCTGATGAAGTTGGCTCTCACTCTGACACTGAAGGAAAAGTCAGACATGACCCCTAACCCTGCGGCATTGGAGCAGAGTGCCCTGCTGGTGCTGTCCACGAGCTGGCACCGATCCCCATCCCCGGCTCTGACTAAGTAGTTGAGTGAGGCTGTAAGAGAATGTTTTCCTACTTCTTGAAAAGAAAAGAACAGGGTTGGGAGCAAGCTAAGACCCCCTTCGGGAAGTTGGGCCCCAGCTCAAGTCGAGTAGTGGAGTCCTCCCCCATGCCTTGCCGGTAGGAGCACCAAGACCAACCTCTAGTATCACCATGTGTTCGATATAGTTCTTGGGACCAATTTGAGGACTGAAGCCACTGGCTCACCATCAGTTTCTGAGAAGGGGATCACTATATATAGGGAGAACCCACAGTATTCCGTCTGCGATAGCTCTTTCCACATTTCAGTACCAGCCATATAGCATGAGGTATAGATTTCTGGATTTCTGATGCCGATCCATCAAGCACCATCAGTCACCGAGACCCAACCAAGATGTTCATCTCAGTTGGACTGGTCTCAGGCAAGAGCCTCCGTGACGCCCAATCCTGGTTGCATGTGGCTGTAGCTCCAGCATGAAGCAGGGGTCCCTAACTGCGGGACAGCTTCCTGTGCCTGTGGTGCCATCTCTTTCATCAGCACTGAAGCCCGTACTGTGGTCCCAAGCACAGGGGCCAGTACCATGTTGCTCATGGAATCCATGCAGGGTTCACTTAGCTTTCCCAAGCTGCCTACTCAGTGTCAGGAACCTTGGACAGGCCAGGAACCTTAACATCCAAAACCCCTCCAGTGCTCAAGGTGTCAGGGGAAAGACCCCACCGGTCTAGGGTAGGAAATGTATGTAATTAACTGTGTAACCGCTGAAAATTTCAGAGGCTACATGGTTACACATGGGGCAGCAGGAAGCTCCCCGGGAGCCTGCATGTAACCATCATGTTAACCATTTACATGGTTACACTTTCACATCCCTAGTCTAGGAGGACCCAGGGGATCAGCTTGCTGGACTACCGATGGATGATGAAGAACCTGTGGTACTGGCATCATTCTTATTGTCGCCCGATGAGGTCATCTTGGGCCCCCTCACATGGTTTCTCAGGATGACACTAAGCCTCACCAGAAATTATGGGCGAGGGTTGCATTTAACCTGGGCTACAGGTAGAGGAACTGGAGGAGCCGTAGGACTCCCTCAGAACCACCAGGCATGGTCTTCTATAAAGACAAGGTCCAGCCAACGGTTGTCTCCTCCTTCCATGTGAACCAGGACATATTCCTCTCAGTGTTCTGTCCCAAGCCAGACAAGGGCAGTGAACAGAAGCGTCTTTATGCTCTGGATGTCCACAGGGCCTTGGCTTTTTTCGTTAGAATGCACCAAGCCTTTCCATAAATTAACACAGCAGTTTCGTGGATAGGATGAAGGGCCGTCCGGTTACCTCGCAGAGGATCTCCAACTGGATCACCTCTTGCATAAAAACTTGTTAGAAGCTAGTGGGGGTCCCACCAACCAGTGCTTGTCAAAATCCATTTGACTAGAGCTCACATATCCTCGGTGGCCTTCCTGGCACACATCCCTATGCAGGAACTCTGTAGAGCCATGATGTGGTCTTTTATCCACATGTTCGTGGCACATTATGCCATCACTCAGCAGGCCAGAGTAGGGATGTGAATGTTTAACTGGTTAACCGGTAAGCCTCACCCTTCACCAGTGAGGCTTGCAGGTTAAGGTTAACCAGTAGGGGATGGAGCTGCTCCAGTCCCATGGGGGGGCCAGCTGCAGACAGAGGCTGCAGCAGCCCGACTGGTGGGCCTCCCTCTGTCCAGCCCCCCCATTTAATCGGTTAACCTATTAAACAATATGTTTAACTAGTTAACCAATTTAACGGCATTTTAGGCCTTAGGACAGAGACAATGCTGGATTTGGCAGAACTGTGTTGCAGTCTTCACGTCCGTCAACTTATGCCCGCCTTCTTGGGTACTGAGTGAGTCACCTAATATGGAATGTCCATGAGCAAGCACTCGAAGAAGAAAAGACTGTTACCTTTTCCCATTACTGGTGTTCTCTGAGATCTGTTGCTCATGACCATTCCATGACCCACATTCCTTCACCATTGTCGGAGTTGCTGGGGCAAGAAGGAACAGAGGATGGGAAGTGCTGGTGATGCCCATTATATTGCGTTATGAGAGTGCTACTCCGGGGGAGAGAGGCAGAACCTGTTCCCTATAGATACTGCTGAAGGAAAAGCTTCCAGTACTATAGCGTGTGGCAAGCACACACATGTAATATGGAATGGCCATGAACAATACATTTTGAAAAACACCAGTCACGGAAAAAGTTTTACTGTCTTTTATGCAGAACAGAAGAGCATGCTCATTGTCACAGACGGGTGGGTAGAAAGGATCACTGCTCCATGGATTGGCATGTAATCTCTTACCGCGCTGGATCCTAGGTGTCTTTCTAAGCTTTTAGCTTCATCTGGCCAAAACTTTGGCGGGAGGAGTTGATTAACTAAATATTTCAGTATTTTGGAATTTGCTTTCAAAGTGCTCATTTTAGTAGACTATCTTGCAAACCAAAGACTCTGGAAAATTTGGCTTGGGAACACTGAAACATGTTGTTCCTTGAAAAGGGATAAATGAAATGGACATTCTTGTCAGTGTCACATATGCTATTCATTGAACAATGGTTGCTATTCCAGCCAGGACTCTCTGCTGCAGAACTGTGAACCCTGGAACACTGGCAGTTTTCCAATGGTAACCTGCTTGTGTTTTGACTAAAGTTGTGTCAGATCTGTAATAGATTCAGCAAAGCATCTTGCTTCAATGAATTCATCAGAAAGTTTCTGACCAGCTCTGCTGTCAGCAGCACCCTAATGGGAGCACAGTATTTTGTTTCTGTGATCTTAGGAGGACTAGAGAGGTAGTGTGGTATGGTTCTTATTTTTGCCTCCGCTATCCTGAATGTTTGAACTTATCCAAATTAGAAATAAGGCATACATTTTTAACAGAGAGAGTGATTAACTACTGTAGCAAATTTGCCAAGGAATTGAAGGATTCTCCCTATCTTGATGTCTTCAAGACTGCTTTTTGGAAGATATGCTTTAGTCAAACACAAATTACTGAGCTCAGTACACAGGTAACAGTGAAATTCTATGGCCTGCATTATACCAGGCACTAAAGTAAATAATCAGATGGTTTCTTCTGGCATGAACAGTTGATATATGCCTTACCATTACACCTAGGAACTGCTGTGTAGCTGAACTCTTTTAAAAAAAATACTTTTAAAAATTATATCACAAACATTGTCCCCTGAATCTTTTAATAGATGTTAGTGTATTAACTGATGAGGCTCTCATGGGCCTCCTATCGACTACAGTGGGAGTTTTACCTCTTTGAAGATAGCCAGTTTTATTGCTTAGAATCTAACTTGTGTGTGTTTGCAATTTGAGGGAATGCCTACCATGGCAAATCCAAGCTAGAGAAATAAGACGTGTCTCTCATAGGGCTGTATTCAAATGTGGTGAAGAATTCTACGTACTGTATGACTTCATCAGCATACACCTATAACACCACCCCTGTTGAGCTAGGAAAGTTCTATCCTGATTTCGCTGATGGGGAAACTCCAGGACAGAATAGAACAAATGACTTACCTAAGGTCACACAGGAAGTATGTGTTGGAGCTAGGAATTGTTCCCATGTGTCTTGGTTACCAGCCTAATATCGTATCCGCTAGACCAGCCTTTGTACCCTGGATGGTGCTTCAGTGAAATGGCACCGTTAACATCAGTTCTGAATCTGGCACATAGACTTTAAAATAAGTGAATAAACCAAGCCGCCATAATGTCTGTTCAGAAATAATGGTGACTCTCGATCTTTGGACATAATGGATGGGAAAATAACTGCTGAGAGAGCCTCCCTTTATTATGGAGCTTTTGCAGATTCTGCTCAGAATAAAGAGAAGTGCCCTAAATAGATTAGTAAATATCTTCACCTGATGGATACTCAGTAGGAGAACGAGTAGTGGATGTCCGAGTGAACTCGCTGTTTCTGGAGCAGCATCATTGTTTTCTGCTTTTTCATTTTCTTTCCAGATCTGAAGCCCTGGGTGTCGAATTTCACCTATCCAGGTGTGCAAGACTTTTCTCAGCTCGCGCTGGATGCCAACAGGAATCAGCTCGTTGTGGGAGCAAGGTAAAGATAATCTTTTAATTAGACCAGGATTGCTGTTCAAGCTCTTTCTCTGCAGGTTACTAGCTTCGGGGGAAATTGTCTCTGTGTGTGTCTATCTCTCTCTCTTTCTCTCTCTCAAAGAGAGGGCTGTAATTATATAGGGATTTTAGAATCTCAATAAAATTGCAAAGAATTGAAATCACTATTATTTTTAAACCATTTTAAATGCAATTAAAATGAAAGAGGAAGCTGCTGTTAGCAAAGAGGTTAGCAAAGTTCTAGTAGGCCAGTGTATTTCATAGCTCTGCTAAATCAGGACAGAGCTCTCTTGGTGGTTGTCTAGTGAAGTTCTTTAGTTACACTGTGTTTGTTCATTATTGAAGGGCTGCCATCTCTCTGCAAGGCCGTACCTGGGATGATGGTCTTTCCCCCCACTATTAGAGTTCACATTTAACATTGCTGTGCAGCCTTCCTTATGGATGTTTTTCTTTTATTAGCCAGGAATATATTTGCACAACCAGAAAATCTGAAACCTCAAAGTAATAAGTAACAAATTGGTGGCAGCATCGTGCTGCTTGATGTCACATATAAGAGATGTCTGTCTGTGTTAAAAGTAATTACAGACAACGGTGTTGCAGTGGCAAAACAGCCAGGGACGAGGTTATTCCAAATACTGGAGCAAAGAAGAGGCAGATTGGAACACTCTGTCCTTCTGCCAGAGTTAAACAGATGGTGAATGGATTGGACAGAAAAGCCTGAATTAGCTGCTCAAAGATAAATGTTTTTTTATGAAGGAGACAACCTAAATTTCCTAATTCAATGAATGAGCAAGAGATGCAGATAATGTTGTAGCTGGCTGAGGTGAAAAGTGTAAATGGTAAATTAAAAGCAACTGTTTGAATCTTCAGTGTAAGCATGTTATGGCCCTGCTGCCTGTTGGTCAAGAAACTGTAAGCTGGGAAAAAGGCATCAAGGACTTTGTGGAGGATGTATACTGCATTATAGTGAAACCCTTCCAAGCACATCTCAGAAGGGTTAGAGATGTGCTAGGTCAGTGTTGCCTCATTACCTGTTGGGCAGTGGCAGGAACAGCTAAGGGAGATTTGATTGCAAGGACCCAATTCAGACTACAGCCAACATTTGCGCAGTGCGAGAACTTTCTGGCTAGGAGAAAATAAAAGTTTGAAAAGGGAGATAGTTGAATCGCTGTGAGACAGTCTGCATGGCTACAGACGGAAGTAGAACAGCTTGGCTGAAAGAAGGATGGTGCTCAGATAAATGGGAACAACTGGGAAACTTGAAGGGAAACATGTAGCCTCCCCTAGAAGGAAGCTGCAGGAAAAGTCAGCTCTGAGGAGACAGCCTACTGGAACTGTGGATGTGAAAAGCCTCTGTAAGTAGACTGTCCTTGTGCCACAAGGTGAGGTGCTGCTGTGGAAAAGTAGCCAGAAAGCATCATGACAAGTAGTCTCCGTTGTTCAGCCTGACAAGGGGACCACCAGCTCCATCAGGAGCTATAAAAGGTCTAGTGATAGAAATGTAGCCGTGTTTGTCTGGTGTAGCTGAAGCAAAAATCAGGACTATGTAGCATTTTAAAGACTAACAAGATGGTTTATTAGGCAATAAGCTTTCGTGGGCCAGACCCACTTCCTCAGATCAAATAGTGGAAGAAAATTGGCACAATTTTCATATGTGTTCATTTTTTTTTCTTGTATCCTTTGGTATATATGGATAGTGCCAATTTTCTTCCACTATTTGATCTGAGGAAGTGGGTCTGGCCCACGAAAGCTTATTGCCTAATAAACCATCTTGTTAGTCTTTAAAGTGCTACATAGTCTTATAAAAGGTCTGTACCTCATAGAATTCACATGGGCTCTGAAGTGCAGAGGTTGTTTCCATAAACTCTTGTAATATGATCTGTTGCCTTCATTTGATCTCGGACTGCAGCGATCAGTGATGGAGGTCTATGTGCTTTGTAGGGCAGTAATTAAGAGCTGGACGGAATATTCCTGTTAGTGTTTGATAAAAAGGCAGCTCCATGTTTTTAAGGGGAGGGTCTGCTAAACCAGGATGTGATTTAGAAATGCTGATTCTGGAACAGGTCAAAAGAACTGCTTCTGAGTACCAAAGGGAAGGGAGAGAGATAAAAAAAGTCCTATTGGAAGTGTGTCTCTGTCTTTGGAAGGGTCAGGTACTGGTAAACAGGTGGTATGGCACCTGGGTACACCCAATGCCAACGGACACTGACTATAACAGTGGTTCCTAAACTTTTTGGCATCACGCCCCCTTTTTGATTTTTGAAAAACCCTCACGCCCCACCCCCCAAAAAGCAAAACTTGATGGGGGGGGGAGGGCTAGGTCGCCTCGTGCCCCCCCCCCCTGGAATTTCTTCACATCCTTCCAGGGGGGCACGCCTCCCAGTTTAGGAACCCATGGACTATAGGGTCTTCGTGGATTTAAAAGTAGACATTCTTCTACAAAGGAGTTTCACTAGCCAGCTACAGGGACAGTCTGCAGAACTGGAATTCATTTACAGATTTGACACAGTTACCCTGGGCTTGAACAAAGACATTAACTACTAGGGTGCATTACCAAGCCAATTTCTCCTGTCTTTAAAATCTGCATTTCCATGACAAAAGCTATGTACGGGACACATCCAGCTCACTTAATTAGCCTCATTAACATGGGTTAGTCTCTAATGTGCCACAGGACTATACATAGGTCTTGGTAAAGCACGAACAAGAAAAAGATTCTGTACTAGCTAAGCTTAAGGTCTGGAGACTGGATGGACAGGGCTGAAGCTGCAGAAGTGTTACCTAAATTCCAGCCTTACAGAAATATGCAGGATTTAAAATAATCTCTGGGATCCTTAGCCTAAAGGTCCAGCGACCTGAGTTGATTGCAACTCTCTGAGGAGCCCTGGAGCTTCGCATCTCAGATAGCAGCTTCTGAGCAGACTTTTGGCCGAAAATAGGCTTTTACCTGAATAGTTGGCAGAAAGTGCCTAACAGTGCTGTCAAACTTGTAAAACCTGTGCCACTTGGAAAGCATCACTTCCAGCCCCAGGGCATCTTCCGTTGTAGCTGGAGTGTGGCTGCCACTGAACCATAAAATGAACAAATGCTACCAGATTATGTTGCATGGGCAGAAAATCATTGCAAACCAGGAAACTAGGACTGTGGCAGAGTCCTGGTTCAGGAATTTATACACACGTTTGGCACACCTGGGAATGTACAGAATGCCAGTATTAAAGTCTGTCTAAGCTATTTCCCATCGCCATAGTATGTGGGTACCTCACAATCTCTTAGAATTCCCCATCTCAAAAGGGGAGTGTGAGAATATTGTCCCATTTTTCAGATGGAGAATTCAGTTGTCAAAAGGCTAAGTGATGTGGCCAAGGTTACAAGGGAAGTCTGTGGCAAACCGGGACCTTGACCCTGGGTCTTCAGAGTTCTAATCTTGTATTTTAGCTAATGAACCATCCTTTCTCATGTGGGCATCTTTCAAGAGTCTAATTTTCAAAGGTGCTGAGCGGACATAGATCCCATTGACTACAGCTAGAGCTGTGGGTACTCCGCAGTTCTGAAAATCAGGCAGTGTGTGCCCACGTAGAAATTAAAACACACAGACCTGCTCTCGCCCACAGTCTGATGAGTACGTTGAGAGATTGAATAGCACTTTGGCTATCAAGTTGTCAACTGGGACAAGATGTGCAGTCCTGAATTCACCCCTGAATCTGATCCAATATTTCTCTGAGAGAGTGACTGAGATGAGTTAGTGCCATTTGTTATCATCCCTTGTATTCATATCACTCAGCCTCCTGCTGGGTTTGCCCCCTACCAAGTCATCTGTGGCTGAGAAATTACTCTGCCAGTTGATGTATTCATGGGAATGTGATCAAGCAAAGAGCAGGAGTGTGTGTCTGATTATATCACTGGTAGGAAGGTATCTGAAATCTGTTGCAGAAGCTGGAAAGAAATTCAGAAAATCAAATAACCTTCATTCTTACCATGGTAAGTTTCTCGAGGGACACAAGAAGCAGTCTGATTTAAAAATCACATCCCAGTGCTAGAAAATAAACAATTCTTGTAATGAAAGAATGTGAGAGAGAAGAACCCTCCTTCGAAATTTACAGAGAAAGTTCAAGAGTTGATGGAATTTGTTAAAAGAAACAGCCTGATCATCTGTGTGAGAAAACGTGGATGAAGATGAGAAATGTGTAAATGGACATTATTTCTAGTTAAAAGCTTAATTAGGAGTGCCTGGAGCATCTTTACCCATGGAAACAAATGTGATTTAAAATGCAGGCTTTAATCCATGGAGCTTTATATGGATTGATCCTCAGGAAGTTCAAGGTAGACTTACCTTTCATATTAGAGGGACAGAGTGGGTGAGTTAATGTCTTTCACTGGACCAACTTTTGTTGGTGAAAGCCACAAGCTTTTGAAATACACGGGCTTCCTTTTCATATGGCACTTTGATAGCTGGCATTCACTCAGGCACTTCAGATAGCAGCTCCTAGTTACATGCTAGAGACCTTCTAGGGGAGAGCTCCCAAGAGCCTGAATTTGTTGATGTCATGTCACAATCCAGGTCTTAGCTGTTTATCCGGGTATCTGTTGAGGAGGGGAGGATGGAAGAAAAAATTGTGTGGCTTCTGGGATCTTTGGACACTGGCACTTGGTGTTTAACTTTTTCTGTGTAAAGTTTGTACATGCACCTAGCATTCAGGATGGGCATTTTGAGAACTTCAGAATATATAGAAAATAGACTCAAATGAACAGACATAGGTTGCTGGTGCTGGCTGGTGCACATGAGCAGTTACTGCTGCAATTGAACAAATAGGAGGTTATCTCCCACAAATGGAATCTGTGACAATAGGTAGTTTAGCCCATTTTTTTTCTTTTGTTAGCAATGGAAACAAATGTTCCTCGGTTATAACTCAGGATGGCACTATCTGCATTTATGCCAAATAGCCTGTTTAATCAGGTATGTTACCTTACATGACCTGCCTCTCATCA